CTATATATATTTAAAAATATTTTTATGCATATTTCATAATTTAATAGACCAATTTTGATGCTTTACCTATCATTAAAATTGTAACAATCTGCTTTACAACTTTAATTAAAATTAGTAAAAAAATTTGCTTAGTAAAAATGATTTAATCAATTTGACTAATTAATCAATTTGATTATAATCAAAGTAGTCAAATTAGTCAAATTGATAAAATCAATAAACAATTATTTTTTACTAAGCAAACCTTTTTATTGGTTTTAATTCAATTCTAATAGTGTTTAAAGTACAGATTTTTTTATAGTTTTATTAGTATCTTTGTGTTGAAAGTATATCAAAAATACATCAAGTATAATATAAAGAAAACATTTTCCTATGCTGCAAATATAAAGTAAAAGTTTTAATTATATACTATAATTAGAAATTTTATTTTATGTTTGCAATACAGAAAGATACTTTTCTTATATAAACTTAAATTATATTTAATATATTTTTAACATACTTTTAATATAAAGGCAGCTAGTAAAACTACAAAAAAACCTGTGCTGATAGTTAAAGCATCAAAATTAGTCTACTAAAGTATAAAAAATATTTTTAAAATATATATACTATATAAATTTTAGGTGCTTTTAGGCATCTTCCATAAGAGATATATCTTCCACAGGGAGATACATATCCTTAGTAAACTAGTCATATCAGAAAAATATCCAGATCATGTGATTATCAATCCTTCTGAATTAATTTTCGATCTCATGTTAAATAAACTAAATTTTTTTTAAAATTTTTTAATATTTATATTAAGATACTACAATATTTTATTAACAAAGTTTAGTTAATTTTTTTTTTATTTTGATTCTATAAATGCATAGAATCAAAATAAAAAAAGTTCATTGAATTTAGTTAGGCAGTTATTAAGAAATCTTCTTTCAAAGTTCCAAAAATCTTTATCGCAGTTAACATTTTAATTTTCTTAAGATTTTAAGTGAAGATATCTTGACAACCATTTAGTTAAATTCTATAACTTTTTTTTATTTTGATTCTATAAATGCATAGAATCAAAATAAAAAAAAGTTCATTGAATTTAACTAAATGGTTGTCTAGGTATCTTCACTTAAAGCTTTAAAAAAGTTTGCTATAATTTTGATAGGTTCCCTGACATTTCCTCAACAGCCATCTACCTGACAACCATCTCTCCTAAAATTTTTTACCCAATGATACTTCTCTGACATAAATTTTTTACCCAATGACACTTCTCTGATATAAATTTTTTCTCTGACAACACTTCCCTAACATATATTTTTTCCTCGACAAAACTTCTCTGACATAACTTCCCCAACAATATGTTTCTCTGACATTAACTTCTTCCCTGATATTAACTATTTCCTCAACATTAACAACTTCCCTAGCATTATCTATTTCCCCAACATTAACTACTTCTTCAACATTAACTATTTCTCTGATATTAACTATTTCTCACATTAACTACTTCCCCAATATTAACTATTCTTCAACATTAACTACTTCCCCAACATTAACTACTTTCCCAACATTTCTATGTTTCCTGACATTTCCACATCCCCAACATTTCCACATTCTTGACATTTCCACATCTCTGACATTTCACATCTCTGGCATTTTCACATCCCTGCATTTCTACATCCTGACACTTCACATCCCTAACATTTTTACATCACCAACATTTTCATTTTCTCAGTAAAGGTCCAGACTTTTTGATATAATTAGATGCTTATTATAGACATCTTTGTTCTTCAAACACCGCTTATTTCTCATTGGTAATAAAAAATTGTAAATTGTAAATCCATAAATATTATGAAGTAAAAAAAGTATATGACAGTAAAAGAACTATTTGTATTATATCAATCGGTAAAAATCGAAAAATAACATACGTCGATTAAGATAACGCATAACATATATTTATACATATAGATTGTTAGATTTGTATTACAACTGTTTCTATAAATTCTGAGATACTTGAAACATAACCGAAATAATAAGTTTTCACATCTTCCAATGTCAATAACTTATTGTAGAGATGTTAAACCAGTTAAAATAGACTGTTTTAGTTCTGAACTGGCAGTGCACTACATAAATTGAATCTAACTAGTTTTTATGTAATGATAGGTTACGAAACTAGTTTCTGATATTTTTTTTGCAATACCCGATTTTTTTTTCAGTTCCGATTAATTTACCAACAATCGGTTTACTGAATATTCATCACATAGGGTTAAAGTTAAGCATTTGATTAGTTGCAGATATATATTTTTATATGAGCTGTCGGTAAATGATTGTTAGTGAACCCCATAATACATTGTTATATACGAAAAACTAATTATATAATATATCACGTGTTTCATATAACAAACAAACTAGTTCAGCTGGTTCAATCTGAATTATAACGGTCTGAGTTTTGAACTCAGTCAAACTAGTTCCAGCTAAATAACTTAACATCCCTAACTTATTAAATCTGACTCAATAACTTATCGATTCAGTTACTGAAAAATATAAAAACAGCTGAAATACTGACTTTGATAACAGAAATAAAATTAGCTTTTGCAGGGTTCAAATAAATTTCGACAAGATGTTTGCAGATCAGTATCCGTACGATATTGATCCAGTATATAGTTAGAATTAGGAATTATAGTTGATCAGTATAGTATTGTATTTAATTTTGGTCTGTAATATACTGATCTGCTCACTCATGCCATATAGGCCTCTGCATGGGCTGGATAGAGCCAGATAATGGCGATACTCTAGCTCTACCCATTTGTATAAGGGCTTGACTTCCGAGTCCTTACCCTTACCATAGGACTCAAAAATTGATGCTCTAGCCCGGTCTACAAAATCTGTGAGTACCGGTAAGTACCTATGGGCTTATTATTGGTAATAGGGAAATCGTCCCAAATTATATGTAAGATAAAAATTTAAATTCATAGTCTGACTGGTTGGCTGCTTATTTAATTTATACGATTAACTAAATTTTGTCTAGTCTAATTTAGTATAATACTTGTTTAACAAAGCTGTAGATCCTCCATCATCAGTTAAAATAAAGCTCTTTATACTTACATCGCAAATAAAATGAAATGAATAATAAATGTTCATGAACTTAGATTAATAACTGTTTTTCATATTTATATATTAAATTATCATGCTTAATGTTTTTATACTAGATCTAAAATAAAATTTATAAGCTTTAGATATTTAAATTTTTAGATTAATAAATCTTATATATTAATTTTGTACTTAAATAATTTATTTACTTTATTATTTTTTTAACCTGTAGATATACTCTCAGGAATTATTTATTTTGAATACTTATATTAATAAATATTCTTCATGTTTATATATCAAATTATTTAAGTAAAAGATATTAAATAATAAAGTATTTAAATATTTGCATTCACAGCTACACACATACGTACGCATGTATGTATATTCTTGAGTTTTGAATCAGGCATGAATCGATGTAAATTAGCTAAACATATGAACTTAAATTCATATAAAATATAAATAAGCCCTATCCGCTTGTGTAAGGGCCCAATATCTCGAGCCTTTACCCATATCCTAGAGTTTGGGATTTGATACCCTAGCCCAGCCCTTGTGAGTTTAACTGCGGGTATCCATGGATAGCCCAAACCCTTGCAGAGGCCTAATATTATACATAATATCATTTCAGCATGGGATACGAATATGCAATATCCAACAATCTAAATCGCAATTAGTTTTAAATCCAGTTTAAAACAGAAAAAAATCTGCTTTCAGTTTTAAGACTAGTTAATTTTTAAAACTTTGAACTATTAAAAGTGAACTAAAGTGATCAGATTGAACTAGGTAAAACTATTAACATCACTAAAGTTTAATTTGCTTTGATCTCTGATAATGATTAAACCAGTTCATTAATATTTTAATTCTAACCTTGGTTTACTTTTATATCAAACAATTCTTAGTTATATACAGCTATATCTCTCTAAACTAAAGCTGTTTAACTGAATACTTTATAAGCTTTATGGGAGCAAAATACAAAGCTTTAAAATATTTAAATATTTGTAAGTTGGTTTATAGACATAGTAAACTTTTAAACTAAACTTTTTTGAAAATTTTTGCAGAGGATTTAGTATAAGCAGAGTTGACTGTATTAAACTTCAATCATTTATGGTTTAGTAGAAAACTTAAACCATAAAGCATTAAATGGTCAATATTTAATGGGATTAAAAATATGTCGAAACTCATTTATTTTTGTATATAGCCAGAACTCCTCCACTTTCCTGCATATCTCACCGCACATCCTAGAAAAACTCTTCAACACATCTGAGTAAAACTCTCCACACATTCAAAAAAAAAACCTTGTTATCGTTATACTATAATAAGGATTTAGATTATTATTTCAGTATTTTTAGAATAACTTTCTTCTGATTGGTAAATTACTTTCAATTGTATTTATACAGTTTAAAGCACTTTTTAAAAATATAATATTCTATAAGTAAAAAAATAAATATATATTGATAAAAATCTGTTTTAATTATCTAATATAAAGAGACTTCTTTTAAAAATGTTAGGTTGGTTTAGTATAATATAATTAATTGAGTATATAATTAATTATTGTTTATTAATTATTTTATATTAGTTATTTATATCACTCTAAATTTAAATACAATTAATTAATAAATCTAGATAGATTATTTTAAATACTTAGATTAATAAATATTATTTATATTTATCTATTATAATATATTAAATAAAATTAAATAGTAAATATTTACAAACTTGAATATTTTTAAACACTTAATAATAATATTTTTTATTATTATAAACTAAATCAAAATAAATAAAATACTTTGTTATTATAATAAATAATTATCTAAAGCATTTTAAACTTTTTATTACTAAACTTTATAATATTACAACAGATATT